ATGACATTGATAATTACAGCCGTATCCAGTGAAATCAAGTACGTAGAGACGAAGGGGTTCCCGAGTCTCAATTTGTTTTAAATATACCTCCTCCGAATATCCTTTCTCTCGAAATGCTTGAAATGCGGGTCTTCCACACTCACTGGATGTTAGAAAGCGGGAACTCGAGCACATAAACTTAAAACGGGATATTTTTACGTTGCAAAAGAAATAACTTGCGCATGCGTTGCCGAGTCTTCACCCGAAGATACATCCTTTCGCCTGCATCCTTTCTTTGCATGTGCAAAAAAGGGGTGAGGGGGGTGAGCAGTCTCTTACGAGGCTAAGGAAGATTCCGTCCAGTGGGACTAGTAGACTTTTTACACTGGCGGGAGGATTCCGTGCTGTTGAACCCTTTTAATGCGGCCTGGGACGTGTAGCCGTCTCCCAGCGATTTGCTTGCTTCTCTTGGCGGAGTACTGACTCGCATCGGGGGCTCGGAATGTGGATCCCTTGTCTTGATTGATGGTGGCTTGTGTTAATCAAAGGACGCGTATGTGTGCTTCGGATTTTCTCCCGGTTAATAGCCCGGCGAATGCAAACAGGCGTTCGCTCAGAATCGAGTCCACCTATGCGCTGAGCCGATGCTCCGAATTCGTTCCTCCATCGCAGTCGCTCTCGCAACCAACATTTCTTCGCTTCATCTCAACCCGAGCTTGTCAGTGGAACTGGTATCCACTGCTGTTTTCTTATAAAAGAATCTGGTGCAACACGTTTAATCCATTATTGAGATCTGAGGAATCCAAGTCTGGAGGCCGACTGTTACCTGCTCGATATAACTCTGCTGTGCAGCCGAAAATTTGCTGCGCTCCAGATCAGAGATTCGGGAATGGAATGGGATACGATTGTGTATTGTAACTTGATTACGAAGTACTGAACCCAGAACAGCAACTTCATCTGGACTGAATACCTTGAGATGTTTGAATAGAGGATACTGTTAATTCAGAGACGGCGATTTACTATATGAGTTTCTGAAGTTACGAGGATTTTGAATGGGTACGGGCACATTCCTGCGAAATTAGTGCATGGTTATGGTTAAAAGTAATTCCAATCTTTTAAAGGAAATTGTTTTATTTTATTTAGGATATATTCCTCGTACTATGAAGGATTGTTCGTCGGCTAATTGGTGAATATACTGCACGACCCCTATTTTAGGAAGTGTACAATTGTAGACTGAATCCTACTTTTGGGTCTGTTTAGAGGGGGGTGAGGGGGTTAAAGCGAACATTCAAGGAAAAAATGCGGTAAATACACTGTGAATAATTGAATGTATGCTTTCGGTGGAATGTCATAGATACGCGAGCAGAATTAGGTTGCATCGGTCTGGCTAACGATCCATTCAGTCATGAAATGTCTGAAAAAAGACTTGAGGAAATTATATGTGGAAGCATCTATATACAGTAGTGCTTTTCATATATAGGGTACAATTTTCTTGTCCATACTTTTGCCCAAGCAGGGTGATCTTGAGTATAAAGATCTCTGCTGTCTATCCTCGAGTATCCCCAGTTCTGTAAAACCGCACTTGATTTCTTCAGCGTGTCATTTTTCTGAGAAAAGTTCTGGTCAAATTTCGCAAAATTACGGATGTCACTGAACCCCCGAGTAAGCAGTTGACGTTGCGCGTAATTTGGAGTCCCTCCAACATCATGTGGAATAAGGGTCGTTCTTCCTGGTTTAGTTATTGTTGACCTCTGGAAGTAGCAAACATACTTGTACGTTATTTGTGCTCACTGCAGCATTTTATCCCTGAAGAATCCCAGAAGCCCTGTCTGTCAGCCTGGTTTAGAGTAGACATCATTCAATCCATTCGGCCCGCGCCCTATGTCTCAGGAACAGTAAACCTGCAGGGGTTGGCTACCCGTCAGTATGTCTTCGAATTTGTCCAACCGCGAAGTAAACCTCGTGCAGGCCATGAAATCGCCTAATCGGCTGTCCAGCGAGTACTTCTACGAGTCGGAGGTCTTCGAGAAATTTATGGTCCGCGCGGAAAGCGTAGCCTAGTTGGGCTGAATCCTGGACTGCTGAATTCTTCTCGACTCATCATCATTTCATGAACGCCTGTTTGATGTTTTAGAAAGCTGCTCCCGGGAAACATCTCCGGCGGGGCTTGCATATCAACGCTGGGTTAATTAATCGCAGCGATCTCGAGTCATTCCGGGCGGTTGAAAGGATAGATAAAGACGGCGCGGTTGGAATTAGCAGCGCGCTCCCTGCGTTAGGCACGAAATCCCCGGGTTTCCTAATTACCTTCCCGCATGTTGTATTAATCGCCGCGGTATGCAGATTCCCCGAGGAAGCCTTGTTCGTGGACTGTGATGATTAACGGGGCTCGTTTACAGGCTGCGATGTGTGAAATTTTCCATTTGCGATCTCCACCCAGGATTCGAGGCAATCTGATCCGCGTGGAGAATTCTACAAATTTCCATCAGGCCATTTAGCATAATCACCGAGACTCACATATGCCCAGGAACATTCAATATTTACGCTGATGAGAAAGTATCTTTAAGCGTTTAAGGAAGCTTCGCGAAATTTCCTCAATGCTAATCGGTCATATTCGCACTCGTAAGCTTGACATTTCTAAACAAAATTGCCGGATATTTTTCCAAAGAAGAACACTTTTTCGCTGTTTTTACATCGCATTCATCCGAAGTAATGCAATTATCTTCAATTGTAATTTTTCAACGCAGTAAGTCTCAAGTTTGTTTTGTGATATGAGTATAGAACAATTTCGGACCGATTTTCGTATTTCAAAATAATTAAGATTGGGAGTACTGATGAAGTTAATTTTCGGTGCAGCCCTGATTCGTTTTCTCGAAGGTGCTTGCAAAAATGATTAGCTCAGTCTTTTTCAGTTTGTTCTGAACCTGTATTTCAAGAGCTGTATATTATGAGCCAAATTATGCACTATACTCGTATGTTGCTCACCGTTAAAATAGTTATTCATAAGAAGTAAAGTTAAGCCATGGCTTTTCAGAGGCTTCCTGTTTTATCGTTTCTATTGCATGACAAGGTCTGTAAACCAGTAAACCAACCGTAGCTTTCAATTTAATGAAGTTCAGTACATTATACAGTAAGTCTCGACATAAGGTTTATATTCGGAGAAGTATTTTGAAACTTTATTGCAGGTATAGCTTATTTTATTAAAATTTCGTGTAATAGTTTGGAAGGAAACCACTGCACTGGTCGCCAAATCTGTGGGCAATGACGGGCCGAATCAGGATGCGAGGAATGGGAGGAACCGTAAATCTTCGTTATTTCTCACATATGTGGTTCCCTTGCTGCCGAGGGTTTCATGGTGCTGGAGCTAATGCGTAAGAAAAATGTTTTGCCGAATGGAATTACGCTAACGAGACCGTCCTTATCGCCGTGTTGATAAACACAGGCAACGTTGTCGCTTTGCTGCCGGGCGCGTCGTGATATGTGCGGAGGGACGTGTGGGCGCAGCTTGACAGGCGCATTGGCAACCAAGTTCGCGAGAAATGTTGTTGGGTGTATCCAGGTTTTCGGCTATTTGGCTTTTCCCGGGACTCGATGAATCGGTCGGCGATAAAGCGTAATTCTTAGTCATGAGCGGTAATTGAGCTCATGCCCGAGTAATCTGTTTTCGGATCTTAATGATGACGGTATTCCAGTATCAGTCTCCCTGCGTTGTTACTCCCGCATCGGATGTCGGAATTCCCGCGCCCGCTTTTAGAATTCGTACGAATATACCTGTGAGTAATCGTGGTGAAAACTTCGCGAGGAATTCTTCAAAATTCAAGTTTTTGCTCAAGATTGCTCAAGACGGTTGTATTCAAAAATCCAATTTTTCGCGAATACGTAAAAGCGCATAATCGTTTTATTCACCGAGCTTCTTCCCCTTATTTGATGAGAAAGAAAGCTTACGAACTCTTGCGGCTGATGGAGACCAAATAAGGTATAGTACTGTACCTGCATAAATGATGAATTCCCCACATGGCTGAAGCATTTCAAACTTCTCGAAGGATCCTATCTTGCCTCACAACCCCACTGGCTTTCCGTTTGCTATCACTCCACACCCCGGAAATGGCGAGATTCAGATTTCCGGGCCATTTCCGTGCAAAGGCCCTGATTCCTTGTTGTTTCAAGAATTAGAATGCTTAGAATTTCGAGGATATTTCACCGGATGCGTTGCTATCCTGTGATCACGAGTTGATGAAATCAAACTTTGCATTTTACCCCCCCCCCCCCCCCGATTACTGTACCACAATTGAGTTCACGCGTCACATGAAAAAAATTCGATTGAGTGCCAAAAAATAGATGTGGACGGATCGTGACGCTGTAAGTTGAGTGTTGACTGTATTGACTTTCGGCCTAATCTCGGGAGTGGATCAGCGTGACAGGCATTCTTCGGTGATGGGTCAGGACTCCAGTCCTAAATTCCAGTCAGAAGGCGCGTGTCCCAGAAACAGCGTAATAGGCAAGTTTTCCGCACGCCAGAAGATCATCGCGAGGAACATCCTCCCCTCTGACAGTCCCACCTGCCCGAGGCGTCCTTGTTCAGTGTTGACTCATTACACGCAACAAAACACCACGGTCTTTTCTTGGCTGAGTATTCGTCTTCCCCGCGGGTCATAAAACGCAATTACAGCGCTATTTACCGCCCCCATCTGTTCCCAGGCCCGGGAATCTGGCCGCAATTGAAGAGCAGGCGTCTTCCGTTACAATGGATCAAGAATCACAGTTGGCCGTGAGTGAGGTCATCCGGGTAGAATAACAACGTTTAGCACATCCCGTCACGCGAAGCATTCGTCAAGTTTCGCGCTGGCTTTTCTGACGCTCCTCGAACGACAAAAGCCGGGAGGCAACGAGCTGCTAAGAATAGACTCCATGCCGCATTCCGCTTTTCGAAATGACCTGCGAAAACGACCACCATCTCCGTGACATTCCTCGCTGTTCGCATACTATTTATATATTTTTTTCAGTAGTTTCCTTCTCTATAAATGCCGGCATCGATCAAGTCGCTTACGCGTGAGCTCGCCAGATATTGCCGACAACAAGGCTTCAAAGCATTCAAACCTTACAATGCGGGCATGATAGTATGTGTCATCGCGTTAAATCGACTCCCGGGTCGAGGTTTTTTGTTTTCTCTGAGAGGTTTCTTCCGAAAATTTTTAACTTTTCTGGCTACCACACCACCTGGGGAAACAAATCGTACCCTGGTTGTTTTTTTTCACATCAGCTTTTCAGGTTCAAGGCAAAGGTATGCCTTAGCTTATATTCATTCGTTTAATGTATGGGAAGAACTGCACGGTTGAAATAATCAAAATACTACGTGATTCAAGTTACATTCTCTCCATGTCGGTTCAACAGTTCTGGTCATCGCTGATTTTCGCTCAGTTCGCGAACTGCCGAAATTCAAGGCAAACGCGAAGATCTGCATTGCTCACATGCGTAACTCATCCCAGCAATAATTTTTGCTAATTAGCGTGTTAGTTTTAGTCATCGCGGTGCTGACGCATGGTACTTTCAAAGATAGATGTGAAGCGCTAAAATTCTTGTAACATTTAAAAAAAAGAAAAATGACTCACTCTGTAGTTTATTGTACCGTCATTTGGGAAAATTCCCATGCGATCATTATAGATATCAAAATGGAACATCCCCCTTTTTATGAAAGTTCGGGAATGTTCATAATGCCTGAGAATGCTGTTTAAACCGACGAAGTAACCTTAGTCATTGATCAGAGTGATGGGATGGGAGGATTGGAGGGAAGAATTTTTCGTTCCGCCGAGTTGTTATGATCCATGCGCCGTCCTTGATGGAACGGCGGAGCATTTTAATGAACGGCCTCATTTTCTTTGTTTGATCACAGGCGGACACGGTGAGATTAATGTACGCATTCCACGACTCCGACCCGGTGCTGGAAGAGGAAGCGACGGAGATTCGGGGGGACGGGTCAGAGCCGAGGACCAAAGCCCGACAGTGGCGACGATTGCCGTACCACGGCATTCACAACCGCGGGTTCCGCAGCGTGTACTTGCTCGAGAAACCCGTCGACGGACTACAAGCCGACAGCCAAGTCGGCTTCTGGGAATTCCGCAACCCGAACGTGAGTCGTTACTGTCATTTCCTTCATTCTCCGGACCCGTTGTTCCCCACGCTGAGGACCGATGAAAAATGAGTCTCCTGTTCCCCGTTAAAATGAACTCGAACTGAAGGGCAGAGAGCTTCTCCGCGTTCCTCACTTGACGAGAAGGATTGCCGGATCTTCCGTATCCGCCACTGTCGACTTCCACTCGAGAGTTTCCGTTCCTCGAAAAAACTGTCACGCGCAATTGACGCATACTTGGGCTTTGAAGCATTTTTGTTATCCCCAGAAAAATCATGTCTCTATACCCCGATTTGGAAGCCAGTTCATAATAACTGGGCGTCGCTGGAATTAAATTGCTTAATGATCGTCATCATCATTCCTGACATCGTTTATGATCTCTATTAATTACTCTCCAGTGATTTGCTGAGAATGTGGACTTCGTTTGTCACATTGCTCGAATATTTTCGTAAAGATTTTTTGTTCGGGAAAATCTTCCAGGTATTTGATGGGAAGTGAAGCATCTTGATGATGACATTTCGTTTAATGAGCTTGTGCTTGGCCAGTTTCGAAATAACTTTGGGGACGAAAAGATAAGGTATGTTATAACTGGTATTCTTGTCCGTCATGATATTAACTGGTTCACTTGGGTGGTTCGCGAACCGGATGTTTTTTTTTCTTTTTCTTTGCTGTCCTCTCGAGATCCGGACCTGGGTCACGAACTTTCTTCTAACGCGAGAAAGCATTTCTTTCCTTCCTGATTGCCTATACCCTGATGTCTTCAGCTTGGCACGATTTTAACCTGTATCTTTGTACGTTGCCGACGGCAATGCTCGAGGGTCTTCTCAGAATCTTCTTTCCTGAAATGAGCGTGAGCGAAAATATCACTCTTGCTGTAATCAATAGATCTTCTTTCGTTGTGAACATTTCGTGCAATTTTCATGCTGATCCAGATGAAGAATGGTCAGATGTGTTTATAATTTTAGTCTCATTTGGGGTTATTGGATGGCATAACCAAGAAATGCAGTTCACCGAACATACGGCTGATCTCGACTCTGAGTTTAGATTACGTTCTCGCAAACGATCATCCGTTCGTAAACTGTTGTGTTCTTTTGTGAGTTAACTCAGTCGTTCCATGTAAACTACAATAATCCGTGATCAAACGTACAGTATTTTGTATTACTGTACATGTGATTTTACCTCGCTACTGTGTACAGCTGCCACGTTAAACTGACAGTGCAATTCTAGATTTTTATTTTAAAAATTATGTTCCTAATTTAGTTTGACAGCAGCGAATCCATTGCATGTTCTGAGATTGTTTAATTTTTATGAATTGAAGCATCTTTGGTGTTCGGAAGACCAATGAAATGCGTTCAGTGATCGCGTCTGACGGACATTTTTTAAATTTTCTACTAGCCCTTCTGTTCGGCACTGTAGGAAATCTGTGGTTACAGGCCAAGCGATTCCTCTTGAATGAAAGACGATTGTATACATAGCCTCAGCAATCATCGTTTCAATCGCAATCTGTCTACTTTCTCGTTCCCCAAAAATTAAGGAAGGATATCACAATATTGTACAGTACAGTATATGCCTTATTTATCGTTATATGATGGGCTAAGGTTTATCACGTGCACTCTTGGTCCGGTATTAAGATGAATAGTATTCATAAAGTAGTCTTCTGAATGATTTCAAATTTAGAACTAAGAAGTATTGTTTCGTGGAATCTTGCCGCAGGATCAGTGGCAGAAGAGTTCAAGTAAGTGAGGGAATTAAAATAAAGATACCCTAAATTCATTTCGTCAACTATCCCTGCTTCAGGTGAGAGGAAGTGCCTTCAATCATAATAAAATGTCGTGTGAGAGGAAGTGCATTCAATCATTATAAAATGTCGTGTCAGTGATCAGGGCTCATTTTCTGGCATGCTTTCAGTAAGGGTGGTGTAGGAATATACCTTAGTGCCAGGGCTTATTCATTGACTTGGCCCTATCTCCACGAAAGCACCTTTTTTCTTCTTCTTTCAAATGCCGCTCCGTCCCACTTCTATGCTGTCAATTATCTGAACGAGCTTTCGGCGTTCGAGGTCATTAGACGCAAAGCACACAATTCTTGAACAATAAAAGCGGCTTGGGTGGTTTTCTTTCCGTGGTACTGGGTCGCGGTTTTCTGTTCTTGCGGAACTCGAACGGAAGAATAAACCCAATTTAAACCGAACTCCATATCTTGTCCGTTTTGCGGTCGCCATTCGATCCGCTTCCTCAAATGAACGATTCAGAGCAAACCTCAAGTCTTTTTGATTTTATCTGGCATCTCGATGGTAACTTTAAAACTGTGTTCTCGTGTGTGAACGAGAACCCTGCTCGTGGAACTTCGTCATTTTCCCGTTCGGCTCGGGTTGACAGCACAGTTCTGTGAAAAAAAGAAGAAGCTTTCCTGCGTAACTTTCGAGGTTTGGATGGTAGGAAAATGCCGGGACATTTCAACACTGTTGAGAGTGGAACATTTTCTAAAGATCAACCACGTTCCTTCAGAATAAGGTCTTGGTTCAAAGCTCAAATTGAAGCTTCACCATTCTAATCCAAGCTCCTTATTCTAGTATACGACGAAGGTACTATGCAAAATCGTAAAACGTATTTTTACGACGGCGCAAAAATCGCTCCGGATTTAATGCATAATTGCTTTTTGGTGCTTGACCTTCTAATTCGTTTTTACGTGCTTAATATTGACGCGCGTGCTCCGATACGTTCGATAAAAATAGAATAATTGAACATCAGTTTCATGAATATACAGTACTTTATTTGAATCTGTGTGTAAAAAAGGCGAGCTGGTAAATTTGTTTTTCTGGGAAGGTAGCGAAGCTGATGTCGATTGCTGCATTTGGAGGCCGGGGATGTAGCCAGGATTGCCTATGTCTGGTCTGTCCCTTCAATGCGAAGGAGAGAGTCATATGCATCACTGGCATCTGAAATCGAGTTTTCCGGATAAATTCCGAGTTACGGTTGTCGCCAGTATTAAACGTGAAACCCTGGCAGCAAGACGAATAGCTTGTCGATTGAAATGACCATTCCCGTGTCGAAAACGTTCCGGGTCACATGGAGCTGTATTCCGTTCTGTTCGAATGCGTTCTGGGATCCAAATTCCTTCACGTCGGAAGACACCAGCATGCCTCGTACACCGCGGGGGGACTCTTGGTAATACGTGCCGGATAAGCCGGATGGAATCGGATCATAAAATCGTGTTCACTCAGTCACCCGACTAGGCGATCCGTTAAGACCGCGCGGCGTTCCCGTCTTCATCGATATCCTTCCACACGGGAGAAAAGAAGAAAGCTGAAATAAAAAAATAAATATAGGGGTTTCCTCTGCGGGAAAAGGATCGCACGGCTTGACATTAACTTACGAGTCTATTTCCCTACACTCGGCATACCGCGAGTGCTTCGCTGCGGAATGTAATTGATCCTCCGTCTTCCCGAGCGCCAAGTTGCCCCGACCACGTCGAGAGGAGCTGAGCTGTCCTGCGGTAGCCCTTCATTTCATTCTAGACCCTTCACATCGAGCCCAGGTTTTGCTTGATCAGGTTTCGGATCCAATCCTAACTAAACATTGGAGATGTGTGATACGACGCCCCTGCCTCATTTTCTTGAGGGAACACGCAATGATCGACACTGCTCTTCTGCGCAAGCTTCTCAGTGCCTTGATTTTTTTAGCGCGTGATAAATTAAGGGAATAAAAAACGGCTTCGCCTGTTGACACGTACTGTATTTTGTACTCCCATTTTCTCACAGAAATATGTTAATGATATGAGCCCATTCACAAATGTGGACGCCTATTTTAATGTGAGCTTAACCCCAGAAATAAACCCTATACATTTTCGATTGAATTTCTTCGAATGATGGTCTAAATTGAAATTCTAGTGCATAATCTGGTAGATGAAAGCTTTTATCGTAGTTCTACCGATATCTGGAAACACAAACTAATAATATTACGTGTTCAGTCTATTCGACAGTTAGTTTCTGTAATTTTTTGTTTCGAATTTGTTCCGAAATTCCCTGTTAAAAATCAACGTAATTACTGATAGGGAGCATTCATTTTGGGGAGTACTGTATGCGAATAAAATTCGAATAAATCTGGTGATCAGAGTACGGGAGTACTTCACGGAAATTATCTTCGGGTTTTTGGAGGAATTTTTGAGATGCGAGGATTCGGTGAGCTAGGATGTGCACTTCATGGCATGACAGGTTTATGGATTGAATTCGGCGGAAAGATTTCCCCGATTCATTCGCGCATGAAGATCTGAAATTGAGGGGAGACAAGGAATGGAGGAAATGCCCGCGGGATGAATTGCCCTTCCTTGGCTTTTTGTCGCGTGGGAAGGAAAGTCGTGGCGAGGAATCACGATCCGACGGCGTTTCCACATTTCCATCGGACATCGACGCGAACCGGCGTTTATTTCCGCCGGGCAACAGGCCATTCATCCAGCTGAATGGCTGTTTCCCGGCCTGATGAGTGGCGGGACTTGGCTGGCTCCGAGACGAGATCTTCCCGGCCAGGAATTACATGACTGATGGTTTTCGAATGGTCCCGGAAAACTCATCACACCGGCACGCAACTAAATTTCGGATTCGATCACGTTTGGCACGCGGTGAGGAAAAATGCTGGTGCGCGTGATCGCGACGATGTCGATGAAAATTGCCGGGAAGACGTTCGTTCGTTCGTGCGGCGCCATGAAAAGGGCGGCGTTGATATTTCTTTTTCCCGCAACACAGTTTTTAATGTCGACCCGTCTTGTCGTGTGACTGATGCGATCCCTGGACGCCGGTTTGGATTTGACGCTCCCCCTCCCCCCTTTTGTTCGAAGCGAGCAGGCAGTTTTAATTATTTCCCGAGTCACAACGGCCGCGTCTTGTAGTCTGCGGACGTGATTAAAGCCAACGATCAACCGCGGAATATTAATTCGCGCCGCTAAGGGAAACGAGCCAAGTGTGCTGTTTGGGTTCCTTTGCAATTAATCTTCGTCGCCGTGTCATTAGCTTGCGGACCGGCCAGCGACACTTGATTGTCAGAGAACGTTAATTTTCCCTTGAACCATCCACTTGC